ACTACAAGGAAGACATTGAGGTGCTGGAACATCTCCAGAGAAGGGCAACAAAGCTGGTGAAGGGTCTGTAGCACAAGTCTTATGAGGAGCAGCTGAGGGAACTGGGGTTGTTTAGCCTGGAGAAAAGGAGGCTGAGAGGAGACCTTATTGCTCTCTACAACTACCTGAAAGAAGATTGTAGCGAGGTGGGGGTGGATCTCTTCTCCCAAGTAACAAGCAACAGGACAAGAGGAAATGGCCTCAAGTTACACCAGGGAAGGTTTAGATTGGATATTAGGAAAAATTTCTTCACCGGGAGGGTTGTTAAGCATTGGAACAGGCTGCCCAGGGATGTGGTAGAATTGCCACCACTGGAGGTATTTAAAAGACATGTCGACGTGGCACTTAGGGACATGGTTTAGTGGTGGACTTGGAAATGTTAGATTGATGGTTGGACTCGATGATCTTATAGGTCTTTTCCAACCTAAATGATTCTCTGATTTGATGCTTGTTAGTTGTTACGTTAATGGATTTTGAGGTGTTTTTGGGGTCACAGTTCTCCAAGAGTGTTTTGAGTGATTTTTTTCTTTCACATTGAATAATTCATGGATATGAAACCATCTCTGTAGGATTCAGAGCACAAGGTCCCTTCCAACTTAGACAATTCTATGATTCTATGATTCTATGGTTCTATATTTGCTGGAGGCAGTAGAACACAGATGCAACAGATGTCATCTAGCCGGACTTGTGCAAAGCATTTGACACTGTCCCGCATGACATCCTGGTCTCTAACTTGGAGAGACATGGATTTGATGGGTGGACCGCTCAGTGGATGAGCAGCTGGCTGGACAGTTGTACTCAAAATGTTACAGTCAACGGCTAGATGCCCAAGTGGCGAGCAGTGACAAGTGGTGTTCCTCAGGGATTGGTACTGGGACCAGTGCTGTTTAACACCTTTGTTGGTGACATGGATGTTGGGATGGAGCGCACCCTCAGCAAGTTTGCTAATGACACCAAGCTGTGTGGAGCGGTCGACATGCTGGAGGGGAGGGATGCCATCCAGGGACCTGGACAGGCTGGAGAGGTGGGCCCACACCAACCTCATGAAGTTCAACAAGGCCAAGTGCAAGGACCTGCACGTGGGCTGGGGCAATCCCATGCACAAATACAGGCTGGGCAGAGAATTAATTGAGAGCAGCCCTGAGGAGAAGGAATTGGGGGTGTTGGTTGATGAGAAGCTCAACATGAGCTGGCAATGTGTGCTTGCAGCCCAGAATGCCAACTGTATCCTGGGCTGCATCAAAAGAAGCGTGGCCAGCAGGTTGAGGGAGGTGATTCTGTCCCTCTGCTCTGGTGAGACCCCACCTGGAATATTGCATCCAGCTCTGGAGCATCCAATATAAGAAGGACATGGACCTGTTGGAGTGGGTCCAGAGGAGTGCCATGAAGACGATCAGAGGGATGGAGCACATCTCCTGTGAGGACAGGCTGAGAGAGTTGTGGTTGTTCAGCCTGAAGAAGAGAAGACTCTGGTGAAACCTTATTGCAGCCTTCCAGTACCTAAAGGGCACTTACAAGAAGGCTGGGGAAGGACTTTTTACAAGGGCATGTAGTGATAGGACAAGGGCTAATGGCTTCAAACTGCAAGAGGGTAGATTTAGAATAGGTATTAGGAAAAATTTTTCACAATGAGTGTGGTGAGGCACTGGAACTGGTTGCCCAGAGAAGTTGTGGAGGCCTCACCCCTGGAAGTGCTCAAGACCAGGCTGGATGGGGCTTTGAGCAATCTGGTCTAGTGGACGGTGTCCCTCCCCATGGAAGGGGGGTTGGAACTCGATGATCTTTAAGGTCCCTTCCAACCTAAACCATTCTATGATTCTACAACACCTTGGTGAGAGGTGCTCCCTCCATCCCAGCTTGTGGGGCAAAAGCTGGGAAGACAGAAAGGGCTGCAACATGTTGTCACTACATCAAAAAGAAGACCACCTCCCTGCATTCCTTTTCCTCCTGGGTGGCAGTGGGTAGCACTAGGAAATGACAGCTTTGGTATTCCCTGCCTCTGCTGGCCTCTATCATTGCCCAAGCCCTGGAGAATTCATCGTTCAGAGAAGAGGGCTGAGGAAAGCTCTGCTTGACCTCAATTAAAGCTCTCTTTGGTTCCCAGAGAAAAAAGAGAAGGCAAATTAACATCCTGCCCCAGGAAGTTTTTTTTGTCCTCATCACTGTCGTGGCAAAATCCAGTTTTATCAACACCGCTGAGAACGCTTGCAGTGGCTTGAAGAATAGAGAACATGATGGTTTCCACCCAGGACAGCCTTCCAGCTTTCTGTCCTCTCTTCCTAAGGATATACTGAAAGAGTATCAAAAAAAAAAAAAAAAGCATCATCATCAGACAAAGTGGTCGTTCTGTACTTTTCCAGTACCTTTCTGTTTGCATCAATATAAGCCCCAAGCAGTCAGAGGGAGACATTATTTGCACAAGCAAATTCACTCATTTCTTAAAAGGGCAAAATTCAGGGTGTGACCTCAACTCCTTTCTCCTGGCCACAGCTTAGCTGAAGGCCCAGTATGTCAGATTCACCTCAGTGTGATTCCAGGGACTGGTCTGGAATCAATTTGACCCAGTAAGTCTCTTTGATTGCATCAGGCCTTTCAGAAGTTTTGAACAACAAGGATCTAAACAGCAGGCAGCAATCTGCACAAAAACAATCTTTGCAGTTTAAGGAATTTTTAAAGGTCTGTGCCTTTTTTCTTTTTTTTTTTTTTTCTTTTGCTTTCAAATGCTTTCCAACTGAGCAAATGCTGCAGCGGGTTCATGGGAGAAGGCCTTGAGGCACCCCTGACTTTGGCACCATTATCCCATAGACACTCCATACATTTTTGGCACCTTGCAGCAGACACATTGACAGCCACAGGATTGATGGAAAGGGAAAGAAGCTGTTTTGCAGTCAAAAGAGAATGTACTCGGATTTCTAAGGCCATTTGAAAGAATGCCAGAATGATACTGGATTTTGGCATTCTTAAACTCCTTTAAGATGATGCAGCAAGTGGTCTTTTCCACATGTGATGATGTATTTCAGGACAAGAGTTTCTTCAAGATTTTCCAAGCCTGTGGGCTCCTGATCCTTTTTCAAATTACAGAGATGATAGCATACCGGGGAGAACTGTGATTAGTTTAAACTCTCCACAGCTGCAAGAGATGAATGTAAAAATTCCACCAAAAAATCCACTTCATCT